TGGAGGGTAGGTAACTAAACCAAGTCATAAGAACTCGGCAATGAGTAACTCTTGTGAATACTATTATCTAATAAGTGTCAACAGCTTATGTTTGTGTTTATGTTGGGATATTGCCCCCCCCCCCTCACTTTAGCACAAATTGCATTTTTTTGTTGTGCGGTATTTGCTTCGGGTTATCAATTGAGCGTGAAATGAGATATTTGATTGAGCTTATTGATTTGATTTCTTATGAAGTTTACTCAAGGTTGGTTTCCAAACCCATCGCGATCGCGAGCGTTACGTACAGATGGTGAGGGAGTACATCCCTCGAGCCAGAGTGCATTTCGACAACAGAATCGACATATTCACCGTTACCTATGAGGTATCTATAAAGTTTTATGTTTTTTTTTCAGAAATTTTGAAATTGTTCGCAGTTATGTAATGCATTGAATGCTTGCAGGGTTGGACGTGCTCATTGGGAGTGTTCCCCGTATCGATCAAGAACGAAGACTTCCTGTCAATTGCCAATGAACCTCAGTGCGCCATTGAAGCTCAGGAAATCAAGCGAGATGTGGGACTATTTTTATAAGTTTTTCACATGCCTTATAGCGCGTGCTACCTTTCGTCAGCGCGTTTGGGCTACAGCGTAATGAACTATCTACAAATTATCTGAACGGGGGTCACCCCATCCAGTCGTTGCCTGAATTGCTCAAATCGCTAGCAAATCGCGCGTTGCGCTAAAGATTATTCATATAGTCTGAACACTTGCCTCACGCTTTTTGCAAAACCGATAGTTTCGATTACCATCTGTTGATAGGCGACCATCTCAGTGCACTTCATCGTCGGGTACATATCGACTGTCTAAACCTCATATCTATTCTCTCGCTAGTCCACACGTAGCACCATAATCAAGGTATATAGCGCACCGTAATCGTTTTGGTTAAGCTCTCCGTGATATGGCGCGCGCACAGTTGCTTTCCCCAGCTTCTCTGGTGGTACCAACTTTCTGGCCCAAATATCAGACGTAGAACAGGCCGACGCACGGACGACAAAGATGGAAAATTACTGGTCTATATTTATCAGGGTGCTGTAGGAGTATGCCTGGTTTTTTTTTCAAGTCAATCATGTCTGAAGATTCATCTACAACACATATCTCGTTCTCGTTATTCACAGCTTTTCTCAGGTACTGTCCAATAGCGGTGAAGGAGGCTGCTTCTTTTTCTCTGTCGAGAGGTTTGACTACACCAAGGGTATTATGGAGAAGCTGAGAGCGTGGAAAAGGTATGGTCTCAAATTCCGTGAAGTCCGTAATGTAGCAATCTATAGTAGATCTCTTTCTAGGTATTTTGAAAAGCATCCAGAGAGGAAAGGCCTAGATGTGCTCTACCAAATTGCGGTCACAAACAGGCGCGCTGTGGAATCGTACAAAAGATATCAGGTAAATGATGTTAGGTATCAGCCGCGTCTCACAAGGAGGTCTTTCAGGGCAAGCCGCGCTTTTTCAAAACGGTTTGTTGCATATTGTAGGGACGCATGTAGGGAACACAAAACCATGTTTCATTTTCGCTGAACGGTTTAGCAGTACCAAAAAAGAAGCATAAGGTACTGTTAATGGTTCGATCCCCCGTGGCGACTAAATTTTGCATTTGGGTTGGCGCCTACGGTTTGGTGCCAAATCGCGCTAAATATCAAAATCAGATGTCAATTCATCGTCAGGACCATTTTGAAGCCAACAAGTGGCCGCCAACCTTGATTGCAAAATTTAGTCGCCGCGGGGGATCGAACCATCAAGGTATATTCACCACTTTTTTTGGTACTACTAAAACCGTTCAGCGAAAACGAAACATGGTTTTGTGGTCCATACATGCGTCCCTACAATATGCAAAAACCGTTTCCAAAAAGCGCGGCTTGCCCTGAAAGACCTCCCTTGTCAGTTGTCAAATAAAGTTCGCACTTGACTACATTTTATGCCATTCTTTCTTGTTGTAGGACAGTTGCCTTGAGTTGGCGAAACATATCAACGAGACTATTCGAAGTGAATCACATCCGGACTGGAGGCCACTGCGATTCGAAACTGATGGACTGCCTCGTACCCGTCTTATCGCTCACTATCTTGCCATGGACATCGGCGTCGTAACTCCATCCAAGGTAATGAGTTAGCCTTTCACTGTTGATGAAACCTCCTGCTTAACATCAATTTAGGATGGCATGAACCTTGTGGCAAAGGAAATGATGGTGTGCAATCCATCAGCCTCGCTTGTGCTTTCCTCGGGAGCCGGAACTGAAGTTAGTTGTGCGAAGCAGTCGTTCTATTTAGGATCCCTTTGAAACTGCCGTTCCATGCTTGCGTTCTTTCACTGCATTGCAGTTTGAATTTCAACCTTGCTAATTGGGAAGTCTAATCGGCGCAAATAAGCCAAACCGGCACTAGCTCCAACTTTTTTCTCTCTAGGAGAAATCGATCAGTGATATACCCGTTATATAGTCCTCGTGACGCTCTTCTTTCAAATTTGGTTTCTCCGCTAGAACTCAAAAATTAACCGCTATCTCGTTTTGGAGAAGTCGTGACTAAGTCTGAAAAGCATGTCTAATTGATTTCATCATCTTTTTGGGGGATCTTTGGAGTAATTCGATCATTCTCGTGGATTGGTCACGTTGTGACGTAGGCATAAAACTCGACCTAAAACTTATCACATTGGCGATACGCGCGTTTCGGCTCTTTGACCACGTGGGACAGAAGCGATTTTGCCGAAAC